AATCTCACAATCCACGAATGTGACGATTATCAAAGTAATTCTTGTGGATGTGAAAGTATAGAAAAGGTAAACTCTTATAAATATCTAGGTGTATTGTTTGACGAACGATTAAAATGGATAGATCACGTTAATTATGTTAGAAATAAAATTAGGAAATTAATTTTTGCCTTCAAACACATGAGAGATATTTTGACTGTTAAGGAATTAAAAATGGCTTACTTTGCTTTTGTTCAATCATTACTTTCGTTTGGTATTATAGCTTGGGGTGGCTGTTATAGGAGTATCTTGGAACCATTAAATATTGCTCAAAAATTGATTTTAAAAATAGGATTTGGGAAATGCAAACGTTACCCGACTGACGCTCTATTTAAAGAAATAGGAGTCCTCACTGTTCGCCAGTTGTACGTAAAATCAATATTAATAAACATTCATACAAATTACAATAACATTTTTCAAAATATTTCACATTTATATAACACAAGATATTCTTCTAGAGTTGGAATCACCACAATTCAAGTGAATTATACTTTTTCTACGACTAATTCATACTATGTTTCACACCTAGTCTATCGTAACATATGCAACATTTTTAGGGATTTCAATTTTTTTGATTGTGACTCATTAAAGGTATTTAAATTCCGCGTTAATGATTTCCTATTCAGTTTAAATATCGACGAGGCCGACTCTATTATCACGGCGGACTACCGGCGCACTTGATCCGACCTTTGCACTGACTGACCTTGGCACTTTGTTAGGACTGTCCGCAGTCGAATTTACCACTCTCCTCCACCCCACTGTACTCTTTACCCTACAATCCACTCATCACTCTCTTCACTACCACCATTACACACGAAACTCACTCACACACATACATACACACACACACTCTCTCTCTCTCTCTCTCTCTCTCTCTCTCCTGGCCACCACGGAAATCTATAAAGCGCTATCTTACCAGCACTGTGTTCATGGAAATACATTCACTTATTTAACTAATAATAATAACGACCTATTGTCTTTTTTTAATTGCTATTCCAAAATTCAACAATTTTCTTTTTTCTATTTGACAGCAACTTAGCAGACGCACAGGTAGCACTGCCTATGTCTGCTAGTTCCTTTATTTTATTGTTATAATTTTTGGCTTTTTAAAACTCGTATAAAATATTTTAGTGACAAAAGTCTCTGTCTATTATACTTTATTTAGTTATAATCACAGCTTGTATGTAGCCTATGTTTTTTTGGAATAAACTATATTCATTCATTCATTCATTCATTCATTCATTCATTTTTTTTCAATTTTTTGAGTTTTTTTATTTTTTTCTAGAAAGACCAAATATACCAAAAGCTCAGTGACCTTTTTATTGTATAATGGTCATAAAAGTAAATAAGTTTATAGCAAAACATGGTTATAAAATAATATTAACTATTTTTAATATTCATTTAAACGTCCGTTATGGTCGTGACAGGATTTTGTGTATTTCCACTAAAGATGCTCATTTAAAAAGAAACTACCAAAGATATTGTGTTACCATGGACATTTTATGAAACTTCAAATGTTAATGAAATAAAAATAATAATACATTTTTGAAAAAAGGGGAAAAGAATTTGCAAAGTGCTTTTCCTGAAAACGTACGTTTTTAAATTTTCACTCACTTATACAGGGTGTCTCACGAGAGGTGTCTCAAATTGATTACGGAAAAACGGCTTAACGTACAAGGATGAAATAAAATTATTTCCAGCTAAATCGACCCCAAGGAATAACGTAAAAATATTTTTAACTTTTTCCCAATACAGGGTGTGCCAAAAACTGAGGGTCACTAGTTCGAATCTCAGAATTTTCAAATGTAAACATATGTCATGTTATACATCATTTTAAAGGTGTTTGATAGACAAACATTTTGGCGAAAACAGAAATAAGTTACCTTTTTCCATTTCAAAATGGTGGCAGTTTTTTTTGGAAAAAATCTATATTTTTTTAATACTCTGTGTTCCCTATACCAATGCATTTATCCCTTCTCCGGTTGAATTTTCTTACTCGTTATGAAATTAGCTTTACTTTGATATGCTACAAGTAACGGTTTTATAGAATTATAAAAATTCAAAAAAAAATTATTTTTGAAAACTTGCAAATGCTCATTTTTCAAAAATTTCAAATAGCAACATATGTCAAGTGGCACATCATTTTATAGGGTTTTTAATTCCTAACAACTTTGTAATTTACACTTACTTCGTATCTCTTTTAGTTTTTGCCTAAATATCAAAAAACCTAATTTTCCTATATCAAATGCATGTTATTTGGGTTTGACGTGGTTTAACACTTAATCAAATTGGGCCTTTAGTGTTAAACCCAAATAACATGCATTTGATATAGGAAAATTAGGTCTTTTGTTATTTACGCAAAAACTAATACCCCCGTCGCAGCAAACCTGCATACTAAGCGAATTTCCATTTACCCGGCTTGATTTCTACTAAAATATTCCCTATAAATTTTCAGATTTATTTCCTATTTAAATAACATTAATTTTAGTGAGTAGTTAGGTTTGCTGCTACGGGGAAGATGTTGAGATGTGTTTTTCAATTGAAATATTGATAGCTTAGTATGAAATAAACCAAATTGCCAAATTTGATTAAAATATATCCATAAATAAGCAAACTAGAACAGTTTATTTATTCTCCATAAGAATAACATGGGAATTTTAAATTTACAATTTTTTAAATTTTCTCCGTAGTCAATGAACATTCAAAAACACTTCAATATACTAAATTATTTGTTTTTTAAGCTCTTCAAAATGGTCTAGAGAGAAATTTAGAAATTTTAAGTTTTTAGGGTCAAAAATTAGAAAAACCCATTATTACCCCATAAAACCCCCCATAAACCCCTGATCCCATGGTCCGATTATGCTGGTTCGCGAACTCGTTCGAATAAATGTAGGTTTACACGTTTGTACCAAATTTCATCAAAATCGGATCAATTTTGCTTGAGTTATCGCGCTAACGGACACATATATAAATATATATATATATATATATATATGAATTTGATCGGATGGTGTTTTTGGCCTCTGGGGACCTCAAAACGAAAAAGTAAATCGGTCCCGGGTCTAGGTCTTACCATGAGACCTACGGTAATAGCTTATTCCCTATATGGGAAATTCGCTAAAAGAGATACGAAGTAAGTGTAAATTACAAAGCTGTTAGGAATTAAAAACCCTATAAAATGATGTGCCACTTGACATATGTTGCTATTTGAAATTTTTGAAAAATGAGCATTTGCAAGTTTTCAAAAATAATTTTTTTTGGAATTTTTATAATTCCATAAAACCGTTACTTGTAGCATATCAAAGTAAAGCTAATTTCATAACGAGTAAGAAAATTCAACCGGAGAAGGGATAAATGCATTGGTATAGGGAACACAGAGTATTAAAAAAATATAGATTTTTTCCAAAAAAACTGCCGCCATTTTGAAATGGAAAAAGGTAACTTATTTCTGTTTTCGCCAAAATGTTTGTCTATCAAATACCTTTAAAATGATGTATAACATGACATATGTTTACATTTGAAAATTCTGAGATTCGAACTAGTGACCCTCAGTTTTTGACACACCCTGTATTGGGAAAAAGTTAAAAATATTTTTACGTTATTCCTTGGGGTCGATTTAGCGGGAAATAATTTTATTTCATCCTTGTACGTTAAGCCGTTTTTCCGTAATCAATTTGAGACACCTCTCGTGAGACACCCTGTATAAATTATAAATTATTAAAATCTGCATAAATGAAAGTGGACACCACCTGAAGTGTATCCAAATATGTTTAGCAAATAATAGTGTATTTACTTAAATGACAAGAGTTTACGAACATTTTAATGAAACTAATGTTATAACTGACACAAAAAAAAATGATTAATGCATTTTTATAAACATCTAGTTTTTTCATTTACCCTTTATATTGTACTAGCTGTACCCGCGGGCTTTGCCCCGTTTAACTTCATAAGTGAGCTCGTTCGCATGGCTCAATCACGTCCTGGTTGAAGTTCGTTCGCTACGCTCACTCACCTTTAGGTTAGAGCTCGTTCACTGCGCTCACTTGGCTTCAGGTTAGCTCGTTCGCTACGCTAACTCGCCTCCAGGTTGAAGTTTGTTCGCTACGCTCACTCACCTTTTGGTTGCAAATTAGCTGTTGTCATAAATTTAAAATAAACGGTATCAGCATTCTGACTCATACTTTCTCCCATAAGTTTGTCAACAACCTTTATCATGTGTAAGCGGTGAGAGTAAATATACGGAAATGGGATCTGTATAATTTTGTTCAGAATTTAAAGGACTACATACTAAATTTTTATCAAAATTGTTCGGGCCATTTTTGTGAAAATCTGATTTTTCCGTTATTTAATGGGGTTTATATGGGAAAATAACATAATTTACAATAACTTTTGAACCATAATTTAGATTCATTAATTCCATTTAAATATGAGTACTCATAAGGTTAACATGGGAAATCCAGATCCTCTGGGGCGGAGCCCAAGAGTCCGATCAGAATAAAAACATCTCAGTTTTCCTATTTAATGCCTAAAGAATCAGTGTACCAAATTTCAGACTCCTAGGTAAATGGGAAGTAAGAGAATTAGTGATGAGTGAGTGAGTGAGTCAGTCAGTGAGGGCTTTGCTTTTTATATGTACAGATCAGTTGTGTGCTGGTTGAAGTTGTTTAGTGCTTAAAGAGGATGTCTTAGACTTCTTCTTACACAAAATACAAAATTTGTAAGTGTCTATGGTTTGTCATGACAAAGTTTTATCCTACAGTACTTTAAGATTTTTTGTTCTTCTTAGTCACTAAATAGTAACATCATTATGCTAAAAAGTTTTATAACACAATGGTCAATTCACTTCATTTACAAACATTTACAAAAAATGTTTATGTAAGGTAATTATTTATAACATGGCAAACTCTTGAAAAAGCTTATGAACTTAGTTGAACTGAGTTGAAATTCATCTGAAAGTAACTTACATCTGACCAGGATGTGGAGCTTCCGATACTTTGGCTGAGAAGATCAGAGCTACCAGAGTCATAATAGGCCACTCCTCCCCACTCATTGGGCCAGTTAGAAAAACTTCTAAAAAAATCATGTAAAAATTATTCTTCATGCTGTTGCAAAAACTGCTGTTTCTAACAAATTAATTGTGGTGCTAAGTACTTTTTTAGGCCTAGGACCTAAAAAAAATCAGCTTTTGTCAAGGAAATCTACTGTTTCTCTATTCATCATAGTTTAATAGAACTACATTATTGATATGTACGACTATTGAAAAAGTTAGTATACAAAGAGTCTGGAGATAATTTTGTTTGTTTATTTTGGTATTTATCTACACCAGTGGCATTTTTCACTTTTTTTGGGTTTAGTAGGGGAATGGTCCAAACCTTTAATTAATTGCTTAGGGAGAAGGAATCCTTTCTTGGTATCAATCATAGCTCATTGTAACATTGTCTTCATTTCAATTTTTGATTGTTTTTAATTATGCTTTTGAGTCAGACAAACGCTATGTAACCAGGATTGTGAAATGTGTCCATGTTTGTAAAAAGTAGCACAAAACAAAATTAACTGCCTAAATTTGTTTACAACCAACAGTAGACATTGACTGCTGTACTTATACTGTTTAGTTGCTATCATGGTTTGTATTGGGTACATCAAGGTTGACTGTGTGTGCCTATTTAAAACAGCTTTTCACCGGTCGTTTTGCAATACCAACACAACAATGGGTTGAAAGTTTAAAAAAGTTGTAGCACTCCTCAAAAACTCAGGACAACGTATGACAGAGAACTGGAAAATGTTGGTTGAACTGAGTGTAAATGAAGATACCTGGGCCCTATATACCTTCCTCTTACCACTACCAAATCACGCACATTTCCTGTTGTTGTTCAACTCTACTGCAAGGAAGTTAGCTACCTCGTCAAAGTGCACAATATTACCTTAGCTGCATATCACAGCCAGCTTTTATGTTATTTAATATATCTAATTATAATGTAGTGAACAGAGAAATAAATATATATCTGGACTTATTCTAATTCGTGAAAAGTAACTAGATTTAGCAAATGTGAATTCTAAATTTGGAATATTAAATACCAGACCACGACCATTGGTGAACCTAACAAATCACATAATTAATTACTATCTACCCTAACCTACACCCTTCCCCAACCCCTACGAACCTATCTAGACATAGTCTTATGCTAGTACTTATCTGGCTAGTCGACTGTTGCTGGGGGCACGCAAGACACTACTGTACTCTCCTCACATCGCGCGTGTTTGTCGCGGGGAGACTGCGCGCGCACCTAAGTCACGTGACTTGCGCTATTGTCTTGTAGCGAATCGCTACATCCTCCCCCCGGTGGGTTTGTTTTTTTGGGTGGTTTGGGTTTTGGAAAAGATGAAGGAAGAAGAATTTTTATTTTTTTATTGTGCTCGCCGTGAGATTGTGTCGTTGTGACATCGGTGTGCAAATGTTCCAACAGTTTTCTGCACTCCTTTTGGTTTCGCTCATTTGAGGTTATAATGTGTGTCGGCCTTGCTTATAAACTATTAACTATTTTTTTTTTTTTTAGCGAATTTCCCTATAGGGAAGTATTAGCGAATTTCCCTATAGGGAAGTAGCTATTACCGTAGGTCTCATGGTAAGACCTAGGCCCGGGACCGATTTACTTTTTCATTTTGATGTCCCCAGAGGCCAAAAACACCATTCGTTCAAATTTGTATATATGTATATATATATCTATATATAGATATATATATATATATATGTGTGTCCATCCGCACGATAACTTGAGTAATTTTTGTCCAATTTTGATAAAATTTGGTTTGAAGGTGTAAGGCGGGATAAACTTGAATGAGTTCGCGAACCAGCATGATCGGACCATGGGAACGGGGTTTTCACGGGGGGTGTTATGGGGTAAAAATTGGTTTTTCTAATTTTTTACCCTTAAAACACAAAATTTATCCATTTTTCTCCAGACGTTTTTAAAGAGCTTAAAAAAACAAATAATTTAGTATATCAAAGTGTTTTTGTACGGTGATTGGTTACGGTGAAAATTCAAAAAAAAATTTATTTAAAATTCCCATGTTATTCTTATGGAGAAAATTATAATATGTTGTAGTTGGCTTGTTTATGGATATATTTTGATCAAACTTGGCAGATTTATTTATTTCATACTAAGCTATTGATATTTTAATAAAAACACACTTTATTAGTTTCCCTGTAGCAGCTAACCTAGGTACTTGTTAAACATAAATGTTAATTTAATAGATTAATTGAAAATCGATCCAGGCAAATGGAAATTCGCTAAGTCGGCAGGTTTGCTGCAGCGGGGGTATTTTTTTTTTAAGTAAGATGCATGAAATGTCATGTGCCTGTTTAAGGTCCAATTCCTATCCTGCGACTGTTACGAATGCCGCGCGGCTGAAAAAATTGACTGCTTCAATGCAAAGTAAATGCAACCCATTCCTATCGAGCGTCTACAGCCGCACTAGAGCCGTCGCAACTGGACTGCTCGGTGAGCGCGTGGCTGTAATGAATTTACAGTTTATAGGCCTACATACGGAGTTTGAGATGTGTACCTTCATAGATGATTCAAAGTTGATGGAACTGGTTCGTCACCACCCATACATTTTCAACCCCAATACTTGAAGAAGATGTCTCTGAATAAGAATACTCTGAAACCCCTATTTTTGCCATACCATGAACAATGGATTCTTTACTATGCTTTATGCACACTATGCTTTATTATGGGTTCATTGTGTTCAACAATGGTGTCTCAGAGAGGGACTCAACATTAATCCTTCTAAGACAGTCGTAGTTCCTTTCACCAGGAAAAAGAACCTGGATTCTCTTTCCAGGCTGAAAATTGGCACTACTCAGCTGGGAGTGTCGAGTGCGGTCAAGTATATAGGACTGACACTTGACTCCAAGCTGACGTGGAACAACCACCTGAATAACGCGCTGCATAAGGCCAAATGGGCGCTCATGACGTCCAGGAGGTTTGCAGGAACCACCTGGGGAATTAAACCCCACATAGCACTCTGGCTATACGAGGCTGTGGTCAGGCCTCAGATTACCTATGGTTCACTAGTCTGGTGGACAAAGGTGAATCAGGTAACTGTCATAGCCAAGCTAGAAAGCATGCAAAGGCTCGGCACGCTACAGGCCACTGGAGCCTTCAGGAGCAGTCCATCAGCTACTCTAGAAGTCGCTCTTGGGCTGCTACCACTGGACATCTTCATCAGATCTGAGGCCCTCAAGGCAGCTTACCGTCTGAGGGTTGCAAATCTGTGGAGTGAAGGCCTGTCAGGGGCAGGCCACTGCGCCATTGCTGAGACTTTGGATGAGTGCCCTGTGCTTGACATGACCTCGGACTTCCTAAGCAAGGAAGCAGTTTTCACCAAACCCTTTAATGTTGAATTCCGCTCCAGAGATGAGTGGAAACATCAGGAAGGGCATCTCCAAGATATGGAGAGCTTCGTCTGGTACACAGACGGCTCCCTAATCGATGGAAAATCTGGTTTTGGGGTTTACTGTCGATCACCCAGAACAGAACTATCAGGAAGTCTGGGACAATACTGTACCATCTTCCAGGCAGAAATCTATGGCATCTTGGCTTGTGCCAACCTAGGACTAGCCAGACGGTACCAAGACAAAAGGATAGTGATTTTATCTGATTGTCAGGCTGCTCTCAAAGCTCTTGACTCAAATGAAGTCACCTCAAAACTGGTCTGGGAGTGTTTCAACACCCTCTGCAGACTTGCATCACAGAACTCTGTAACTCTCGGCTGGGTCCCAGGCCATGTAGGCTTTGGCAGCAACGAGAGTGCAGACAAGCTGGCAAAAAAAGGTGCAAGCATGCCACTCTTTGGACCAGAGCCATTTTGTGGCATCAGAAAAGCGGCCGCTAAACATGTAATCAACAAATGGTCCAGGGGACAACATCTTGAGCGGTGGCGTAATTATCCTGGACAATCACTTGGCAAAAAACTGCTCTCAGAACCTAGCACCCTCTTCACTCGCTGGATGCTAAAGCTGGGGAGAGGGCAGGTCAAGCAGGTACTTGCTCTTATCACTGGACACGGCCATTTCAGGAAACATCTCCACACTCTAGGAATTGTCAATTACCAGCAGGAGTGTCGACTTTGTAACCAGTCCGATGAGACTGCAAAACACATTATTCTGGACTGCGATGGACTACGGGCTAGGAGAAGGGCTCTGTTTGGTCTAAAGCAGCCAGGTGAGGAACCAGATGCTAACATTGGGCAAAAACTCCTGCACCTAGTTAGGGACACAGACATAGGCTTACCCAGTTAGTGGCAAGCGGGATGCACAATAAGCTTCGGTTGACGTGCTTGGACCATGAGTCCACCCTCTTACAATCAATCAATAGGTTCATTGTTCATTGTTTTTTACCATGAACATTAATATTTCCTTTTCCTCCTTTTCTCCAAGAAATATATTCGCTGCCAACTGTGCTTATTCCATGACGGTCAATAATGCAATTGCACTAGTCACTAGTCGTGGGAGTCGCGGCATAGGAATTGAAGCAAGCGTCTCAAGCCGTACGACTCTAGACGCGCGGCTAGAGTCATAACAGTCACAGGATAGGAATTGGACCTTTAGGATTAAACAAGGAACAAGATAATAACATGAGTTTACAGGGATTTTATATTTTTTAGTTGTATGTGTTCAAAGTTATTGCTTACACAACTAAACAAAAATATTATCAACATTTTTCAACACTATAAATTTATATTTCTGTATATTTATTTACTAATTCTAAAGTAGAATTTCATTAGGAATAATTTTAAAACAAATGCAAAGTGCTAGGTCCCATAGAAAAAAGATAATGACCTGAACTCACTGACCTGCTCCAGACACAAGAGACACACATTTTTTCAACTGCCTGTAGATAGCGTTAAGGTTAACTTAGACATACAAGCCTTTGTGTAATTTTGGATCAAATGAAAAGTAGAATCTTTTTCCATAGAATTATCGAAAATAAAATAAATCAGACTTGCAAGGTTTTACATGTAAGCCATCACATGTTAAAAACAAACTGTTAAAGGTGTAGTAAAAAATGATAAAAATTTACCATAATAACCATAATAAAATTTACCATAATATGGTAAATACCATAAAGACTATTCATTACACAGCTTAAATGAGTCTATCTGATTTCATAAGCTCATTTTCCTGAAACTTGCTAACCTGTAATAGTATACTTCAAGTACTTCAAAGGTGGCTTTCAGTCACACCCTTCTACAGTATTGAAGAATTCTTTGCCTGTGAAATTAGCCTAGTTTTTTAACCACATTGATTTTTCTTTTATCTGTGATTTTATATTGTGATTTTATCTTGTGTAAATTTCTAACTTGTAAAACTTTCATTGCTAGCTGCTTGCCTAGTGTATTATTTATTCAAGTATGTCGCCCACTGTGATTTAACTTTTTTATACTTAATTACTATTGCATATATTATTTAGTAAGCCTGTCTGTATTATTCATAATTTATCTTATAAGTACCTATTTTTTTTGTGCATGTAAACCTTAATTGATGTAGCTTGATTGCATGTACTTGTTTACTATATTGACATGATCTATTGCATTTTATGTATAATGTTTAATGATCAAATAAATCTATCTATCTATCTATCTATCTATATTTTGTACCTATGGTGGAAAATGAGGTTTTGGCGGCTTGAGATAGTTTTTAAGTTCAAGACAAAGTCGAGAACTTAAAACGATCGAGAGCTGCAAAACCATTTCGGCCCGTGGTACGAACGCTATTTTTCACCACACTAAAACCTATTTACTGTCCCACTATTCACCACAATAATAATGCACACTGATAGTCAACACAACTACAACTTTAAGATTATGTGAAGAAATAAATTGAGGAATCTGCAAAAATAATGATAAATAGTTGCTAGGCAACGATGACAGTAAAACAATTCTATTGCAATGCTATGGATACTGATTGTGTATTTAATATGCATTAATGTTTTAAGAAAGTTAAGCGGACAGCTGATTTTGCGGCCATAGGGATGTAAAAACCTGCTCGGTCCCCAAATGACGATGACAGCTAGTCTACTACCTTAACATGGCCAATTAAGGTATGTAAAACAGCTAAAAACATGATAATGTGGTGAAAAATAATTTTCTTTTCAAATTAACGTTATTATTTGTATGCTTTATTAGAAAGAAATAGACATTGGGCTAAAATGTGTTACCATGACCAAGTTACCAAATTCATTTTTTTTTTGACATAGTTTGAAGGATAGTTTATGAAACTGTTTTGGAAATGTCTGCCTGAATGCACAGTTTATCAAATTCAACTTGCAACTAAACTAAAGTAAGCTCTATACTTATTTAAAAACAGCAAATTTAAGTAAATAAAAGGTTTCTATAATATGATTCTACCTGTATCCTAATGTAGGTGAATTTGATGGTATTGGAGAACACACTGAGCTTGAACATAGTTTGACCTTATTATTTGTTTTTTCTTTTGATTGCATCTGTAAAACATAGATAGAATTTTAGATTCATATGCAAGCTAATTATTACAAATTTGAAAATGAATCAAGAGTTATTTTAATTGAAACTGTTAACCATGAAAAGATACTGCATCTTCTTAAAAATAACATACCATAATGAGTCCTACTACAATAGTTACAAAAACTGAATACTCTTGTTATTTTATTTATCTATTGAACACCTTTTTTGCTGAGTTATGTCACCTGAAAAGACCTGGAATATTCTATTTAATTCCTTTAAACAAGTGAAAAAAAATTGTGTATGCCGTCTATTTAAATAAATAAATAAACTCAATTTTCCAATTTAAACCAGCAGAAGTTTAGTGGTTTAGTACAGTAACTTTTATGAAAGGGCTGTGTTAAGTTAGGGTCTACTTTTTTTTTTACTTTTCATCAGGGGTTGAAAGTAGGGTATTTTGCAAAAGGTGTCTCCCAGGCTGTTACAAGCTGTTTACCATGTGACACAATGTTAAGTTGCCTAGGAGAAACTTGTTTATTGGTTTTGTGACAGTTAATATTTTTCTAATAGCTCCACTGTCATTCATTAGCTAGAGGGTTTTTCTTAGGTGTCAAGTTTTTTTTAATTGTAATAATAAGTTACTGTTTATTACTTAGCCAGTACAGATACAAGTTATTGCTATTTCCCAGCAACGTTTTTTGCCTGCCAATAACAGGACTCCGCACCCTGTTATTTCTGTAACAATGCTAAGACTTTGTTGTCAAATGTCTGTAGTCGAGAGTCGGTTGTCGGCAGACTTTGTGTCCCAGCAATTGTTATTTAAACATAGTACTTAGGAAGATATTTGGCCCGACGCTCGAGGATGGAGTATGGAGGAAAAGGCATAACACTGAGATTATAGAATGCTACAAAGACCCAGACATCGTAGCAGAAGTCAAAAGTAGATGGTTGAGACGGTTTGGGCATTAGTATGGAAGAATGCAAAACTCCACCATGAACAACATACGTAATAGAAACCTTGAAGACAGAGACCACCAGGACGGCCCAAGCTCAGATGGAAGGATCATCTTTAAAAAGATATTAGAAGATTAGGAAGGAGGGAGAATGATGCTCAAGAAAAGAGACACCTGGAGGCAGTGTGTGGGTGAGGCCAAGAACATCTTTCTTTAGGATACCAGTGTTCATTCAAGTAAGCATCAAGTATGCCTAAGTAAGTATTCAGTGTTACGCTACCTCCTCAGGGAAGCGGCCGCTAGGAGTTAAAAGAAAATCTTTGATGTAAGCATAAGTTGATATACACATACAATTAAGATTCTTTGCTGTAAAATACAATGCCACAAACACAAACTTAAGCAGACAACTGAGTCAAAAATGGCAGCTCAGTAAAGATTTCTTGAATTTGCAAAGCAATGATTCGCCTCCTCAAAGTCAGGCAACTGGCCAATTAGAAGTCAGAAGAAAATTATAAATGCAAGCATAGCCTGATATACACATTAGGCCTAAATAAAGTCTTTATTAGTGAATACAATACCACAAACCAAAACTTAAACGGACAACTGAGTAAAAAATTACAAATTCAAGAATCTTTCAACGGCTGCCATTTTTGACTTCGGTTTATGTTTGAGTTTTGTGTTTGCACAAATGAAATAGTGGGTGAAAAACAATAAATTAAAAGTCTGGATATAACATAAATTAAAATGCCCCGCCACAGCACACCTGCAGACTAAGTGAATTTGTTTGGTATTTTCCTGTTAAAGGGAATATTCATTCTTATTGATGATTTCTTTTCGATATTTTGTTTTTCGATCCGATATATCAATTAGATTTAATTTAGCTTAATACTTGACTTTGTCTATTGCTGTAAAGCTTAGGCTAACAGCAATAAAATTCTTATTTATTTATTTATTAACGAATTGAAACATATCAGCTGACGAGCTGACAACTATGATAAAGAATATTGTAATAGGCCTAATAATAATAATAATACCCTCCCCTTTAGTCCAAGCTCTAATAGGGGAACCGAGCCTCAGGTACAGGGCGGGTCGCAGTTGGCGGATGGCGAACGTTCCATCAGATATGGTGGACAGCTGTGAATAAGGGATAACCCGAATAAGCAGTCCCGGACCGAGGCGGCAGCACCAGAGGGCGTGGGAGGGTGATCTGTGGCGGGGTCACACTCAGCAAGTCCACATGAGCCCGATGATAGTGCTGTGTCATGGCGAGGAAGTGCCGCCATTAAATAAGCACTGCCCGTACTGCCTTGTACGATAGGGTTAGGCACCCAAAGGCTAGGAGAAGGAAACTCTGAAATTAAACCAGGTCGGGGTCTGGAAGCTGTGGTGGAAGCAATTGACCTAGGAGAAGAGGACTCTAAATAAACTCCTGGTTCTCCAGGCTGGGGGTTGGGCGTGAGGTTAGCAACCCCACCCTGTCAAAAGAAAATGGCTACGAATCTGCAAAATGAGCCTCGGAGATTGGATGGAAATACAGGATACGGACTTGGAAATGCTCAATGGACTCAGAAACGGAAAAAGGAAAATATTTTGTATGCAGCAACATAGAATGTGAGAACGATGTTGATGCCAGGTAAAATGAAGGAAATTGCACTGGAGATGGAAAAATTCAATTTAGACATCTTGGCCTTGCAAGAGGTTAGGTGGAAGGGAAATGGAAGAATAGACAAGAAAACCTATAGTGTGTTATACAGTGGCCCGGAAAGGAGAACAGGACTAAATGGAACTGGATTCATATTAAACGCTAAAACCCGTAAAAGTTTATTGGCCTTTGAACCAGTAAGTGACAGGATATGCAAACTCAAATTGAAAGGGAAATTCAGAAACATCTCAGTGATTTCTGCATATGCGCCCACTGAGGATGCAGGTGATGACGAAAAGGAAAGTTTTTATGATCAGTTAAGCAACACATGTAAGAAAATTGCCAAGTATGACATGTGTATCCTTGTAGGCGATTTTAATGCCAAAATTGGCAAGGAGGATTTCCTGAAGGGAATTGCTGGTATACACTCGTTACATAATGAAACAAGTGAAAACGGAAGGCTGCTGGCCCAGTTTGCCGCAGAACATGGCCTCGTAGTAATGAGTACCTCCTTTGCGCATAAAGATATCCACAAAGGTACATGGAAAATGCCAGGCAGGAATTGTGTGAATCAGATAGATCATGTTCTGGTGAGCAAGCGACATGCAACTTCAATCATGGATGTGAGAGCCTGTAGGGGACCTAATTGTGACTCTGACCACTTTCTGGTTAAAGCTTTTGTGAAGGAGAAAATCTCTTTAGTTGCAAATGGCCCTGGAGTGAAAAAGAAAAGGTGGAATTGTGATCTGCTCAATGACAACGTCAGAGAACGAGAATACCAGCAGGCTATTCATGAAAATATTATTTTACAAGATGCAAATAATGGAAATATAGAAGAAGCATGGGAATCGATCAAGGAAGTTATACACACAGCTGCTGAGAGTACTATAGGTGAAAAAAAATTAGTAAGAAACGCAGAATGGTTCGACAATGAGTGTATGGATGCAATCATGCGTAAGAATGGAAAGAGACAAAGAATGTTGCAAAGGCCAACAAGACAGACAACTGAAGAATATAAAGAAAGCCGAAGAACAGCAAATGGAATACTAAGAAACAAAAAGAAACAACACATCAAGGCCCAGATAGAGGAAATTCAGAATTTAGATGACCAAAATGAAACAAGGAAATGTTATACTGCGATCAAACGTATGACTAAAGGTTTTCAGCCGCGAGTCAACGCTTGCAAAGACAAGGATGGAAATTTGATAGAGGAAGCAACCAGAGTCCTTGACAGATGGGCTGAACACTTTACAGAACTCTTAAATGGAAACCATACCGGAGAAGACCGAGCGTTGGACTGGCAGCCAAAATATCACACCGCTGATCCTTGGATTGAAGAGCCCTCCTTAGAAGAGGTCGAGATATGTAAAAAGAAGCAGAAGAACCACAGAGCGCCAGGTGAAGACAATATTAATGCTGAGCTTTGGAAGCATGGTGGTCAAGAATTGGCGTGCTGTTTACACAAACTTATATTAATGATTTGGAGACAGGAATCTCTTCCCAGCAGCTGGAACAATGGAGTAATTACTCCTGTGTACAAAAAGGGTGACAAACTAGCATGCAGTAACTACCGTGGTATCACTTTGTTGGATGTAGCGTACAAGATATTCTCTGCTATTTTGGCCATGCGACTTAGCCCCTTCACAGAGAATGTACTCGGGGAGTACCAATGTGGATTCTGACCAGGAAGAGGAACTATTGATCAAATATTTAACATGCGCCAGACTATGGAAAAGACTTATGAATACGCAGTTGATTTGCACATGTTGTTCATTGACTTTAAACGGCATTTGACAGCATAGACAGGAGAAAACTACTTGATGCCCTTGAGTGTTATGGTTTTCCAGGGAAGCTGGTGCGGCTCACAAAAGTTACATTACAACACACTTATAGTTTAGTAGCAGTGGGTGGTAAACAAAGTAAAGTGTTCAGGATTTCAAGAGGTGTCAGGCAGGGTGATGCGCTATCAGCTCTGCTTTTTAATTTGGCCTTGCATAGTGCTATGTGTAGGCTAGACCTGAGAGGGAACATTACTCGTAGGATGATACAAGCACATGCCTATGCTGATGACATAGCGCTTGTTGCTAGACGCCTTGAAGACCTAAAAGAAATGTTTCAGACTATTAAAGAGGAGGCTAGTCGTATGGGTCTGGAAATAAATGAGGAAAAGACACACTACATGAAAATGTCTGAAGCAGAGGCCATAAGAAGAATCCAAAACTTGGATGTAGGCAATTATTGTTTTAAGGGTGTGTATAGGTTTGTTTACCTTGGGGCAGAGCTGAACAGCAAAAACACTGTTGCGCAAGAAATCACAAACCGAATCATGGCTGGTAACAGGGCATATTATGCTAACCTTGGTATCCTCAAATCCAAGCTGGTGACCCGCAACACAAAGATGAAGCTGTACAAGACTCTCATTAGGCCGGTTGTTACGTACGGTGCAGAAACCTGGTCCCTATCTGCAGTGAACACAAACGCACTGAGAGTGTTCGAAAGGAAAATAATAAGAAGAATACATGGAGCGGTGAAGGAAGGGGATAGATGGAGGATATTGAAGAATGCTGAAATAAACGACATTTTGCAAGGGGAGGATATTGTGCACTTCATCAAAGCAAGAAGGATCGGTTGGTTAGGCCATGTGGAGCGAATGCCTCAAGGAAGACAGCCCAAAGAACTATTGTGCCAGAACATGGAAGGGACTAGGAGAAGGGGTAGGCCGAGAAGAAGATGGCTTGATGAGGTGGAGGATGACCTGAGGATGTTGAGAGTGAGGAATTGGAAAGAGATGGCGCAAGATCGAGGCGATTGGAGGCGAATTGTAGCAGAAGCCAAAGGCCACCAAGGCCTGTAGAGCTGCGGAAGTAAGTAAGTAATAATAATAATAATAATTAATATAATAATAAGAAATAATATTTCAGTATCAACAAACAATTTAAAAAGTATGATATTGAAATTAAACTGTTCTTAACTAACGTAACCTAACCAACCAAACTTGCTGTAACATATCAAAATTCCGTTTGATATGCACCACATGCCTTTTCTTTTATCAAATGGAATTTTGAAAATGGTATCTTACAGCAAGTTTGGTCAGTTATGTTAGGTTAGTTTAGAACAGTTTCATTCCTCAATCCATATATACATATAAGTTAAGTTATATATTCAAATTCAAGTATATTTATTTAAGATATTACAAGCATGGCCTCGCCAAGTTTACAAAAACTTGTCGGCGAGGACCAATAGATTCAAAAAATGACAAAGTTTACAGATTTTTTTTTCTTTAGTTTTGTTTTCTAAGTGCAGAGAAATAGCCTATGAAACTAGTTCTGATAATATATATATATTATTTTAGCCTAAACAAAATTAACTTATAGTTCTCAACTTGTAATTTAAATGCATTTGAAGATATTGAAACAGAAGGAAAATGGATCGTAAAGGAAAACAAAAATATTGATCTATCGAAAAGAAATCATCGATAATAATGAATGTTCTCTTTAACAGGAAAGTACCGTGGATTTCCTTTTGATTTTCATTCAAATCTATTTTAATAACATTAGGTTTAACAAGTTTCTAGGTTTGCTGCTGCGGGGAAATGAAATGAAAAATGTCTTTATTTAAGAGGCGAAGTTAGGACTTGCAAGTCCTCTCTACCACTTAACCTCTAAAACATAAATAAATAAAAACTTATTCACTTATATAAGTAAATTTAAATAATCTAAAGTAATACATTAAATTTGTAACATGAAAAAATAACTTAAGTAATCCTAAAAAAATCCCATTCACACAAGCCGCCAACAACCCCTCACACCAGCGCCAGAGACTCACTCAAGCCTGCTGCTCAATATAATAGATTTAATCTCTGTCCCAAACCTCGCACAGTTACCTATGGATTTGATATGGTCAGGAAGAGAATTCCACAATCAAATTGCAGATACCAAGAAGGATTTGTTAAAAACGGTTGACCGGTGAATTGGTGTAGATAAAAGGTGAGAGCCTCTACGAGTAGCACGGGTGCTGATGTTAGAAATAAAATGGAAGTTGTCTGATAAATAATTGGGAATTTTACTATTGATAATGGAGTGTAGAAGACGGAGGGTGTGAAATTCCCGAAGTTCATTTAACTTTATCAATGAAAGCAGGTTAAAATAGGGAGTTACATGGTCATATCGCCTTAGGCCAAACATGAATCTGATACAGGAATTCTGAGCTCGCTGAAGTCTACTAGAAACTTCATTAGTCATGTCATTGATCACCACATCACAGTAGTTGAAATGAGTCAGGATGAGAGTTTTTGCTAACATGATTTTCAAGTTCAGTGGAAGGTAGTCTGCAAAACGTTTGATGGTGTGAATAGCTCCAAAGACCCTGTCACAAGTGGAGTTGGCTTGGTCAGACCAATTCAAATGTTTGTTCATGATGAGTCCTAAGTTTTTCACTTTGTCGCAGTAGGTGAGATCCTTTCCGTCAAAGTTAAGTCGTTGTGCAGTGAGTAAGTTGATTTTAGTCATTAGTCTGGGGTAGCCAACAATCATCGCTTGTGTTTTGTCAATATTGAGTTTAAGTTCGTTGTTTATAGCCCAGTGAGTTATCGATTCAATGTCAATGTTCATGAGTCGTACAGCAATATCCATCTCGTCTACATTGAAGTGGGAGTAAATCTGTAGGTCATCAGCATACAAATGGTAGCGTGAGTTAGTGATATGTTCTGTGATGTCATTGATGTAAATTGAGAACAGTAGTGGGCCAAGAACAGATCCTTGAGGAACACCTCTAGTAATCTGTTCCCAGGTGGAACACTTGTCACCGACTTTGACACACTGCTGACGATCAGATAAATAGGACTCAATCCAGTCAACACAGTTGTCAGAGAAACCAGCCAAGCGCAGTTTAAGGAGCAAAAGAGGATGGTATACGCAGTCAAACGCCTTTGAAAAGTCAAATTGTGGCATGTCTATTATCCATTGCACGGCGGATGTCATCTGTAATTTTCAACAAAGCAGTGGTTGTGCTATATTTAGCGCGAAACCCAGATTGAAAATCCGATATAATTTTGTTCTCTTAAAAAAAAACAGAGAATTTATTATGCACTATTCTTTCAAGGCATTTAGAAAGGGCAGGAAGAATGCTGATTGGTCTATAGTCAGAAGGGGTATTGGGAGAAGAAATTTTCTGAAGTGGGCGAACAATGACAGATTTCCAGATGGAGGGGAAGGTAGAAGTTGCTAATGATCTGTTATGATCATCTAGGCTCTATACTTTCTCTTTTTCATTGCGATTGCAGTAAGGTTAGTTGGAGTACAACTAAGACATAACTTAATAATATTATAATCATATTTAATTATTATTATCATTATATCCTTTGCCTATAAACCACATGATACTCAGATAGACTATACACATTATTAGACCTATTTTTACAAATTCGATTAGGCCTAGCTTATTATTCAGTTTTAATAATAACCACATGGGACTGACTATTTTGTACCAGGGTCAGCAAATTCAATACATGTAGCAAAATAACCACTTAGAATGTAGATATTTCCATGAAACTTGGAACGAAGGTATATCCACATGTATTCGTAAATTACAAGGAAAAATGTGGTTCGGATTCCACTATAAACTGTAGGTCCCTTAGTTGCCATTAGCTGTATGGGCTATTAATTAACAGCTGTGTCTAAGGAACATGTCGGCCTTAGTCACTAACAAGACTACAAGATCGCGCCACTCATCCTACACTCATCCTTCACTCATATTTGGGTTAAAATACGCACATAGTGGCGTCCCCATCTTAACTAATTGATAATTGATAATTGATATTCTACACGTATGTAAAATTTCGTAACGAAAAAAATATTTGCCTATATTATTAACAAAAAACTGCCGTAAATAGCTAATTTTATTTTGTTGACCCGGGTCAATCGCCAAAAAAAGGTACCTAGAAGTAAACTATATACATAAAACTTGGAACCAAGGTTTATCCACTTGTATTCTATATGCATGTAAAGTTTGGTAACGATTGAAAAATATTTACCTATTTTACTATATAAAAAACCGCCATAAACAGCCTAGCTTATTTTATATTTTGTTGACCCGGGTCAACAAATGCAATACATTTAGCAAAATAACCACTCAACTTAGAATGTAGATATTTTCTTGAAACGGGGAATGAAGGTATGTCAACATGTATTCTACACGTATGTAAAATTTGGTAACGATTTAAAAATATTTACCTATTTTGCTATTTAACTAATATTGTTGACCCAGGTCAACAAAATAGGGAGTCCCTAACCACAATTAAGTAAATAAGGCCTACAACATTACCAAATTAGGCCTATATGTTATTGTAACTAGGGGTTCAGTTCCTCAGAGACTGATAACTAACTAATATTATCAGATGAAATATTAGTTTGATAATTGGTATATCCTTTTAGAGGCTAAAATAGTTACTTGTGTGAACCTGGCAATAACTCGGCAATAAGTAGTGCACGCGCCTTAAAAAATCTATTGCTGGCCGTTTTGGAGCAAAATATGTCCGCGATCCATATTACCAATAATGCCAACAGATAGAGGACACTTTAACGGACACGACAGTATCAACATTATGTACCTGGGGAGTAGAATAAGGGGGTAAAATCAGCAATAAGTTGTGCGCGCGCCATAAAAAATTTATTGCTGGCCGTTTTGCGGCAAAATACGTCCGTGATCCATATTACCAATAATGCCAACAGATAGAGGACACTTTAACGGACACGACAGTATCAACTTTATGTACCCGAGGAGTAGAATAAGGGGGGTAAAATCAGCAATAAGTTGTGCGCGCGCCCGCTAAAATCTATTGCCGGTCGTTTTGTGGCAAAATACGTCTGCGATCCATATTACCGATGATGCCAACAGATAGAGGACACTTTAATGGACACGACAGTATCAACATTATGTACCTGGGGAGTAGGTTAAGGGGGGTAAAATCAGCAATAAGTTGTGCGCGCGCCCGCTAAAATCTATTGCCGGTCGTTTTGTGGCAAAATACCCCTCTTATTCTACTCCTCGGGTACATAATGTTGATACTGTCGTGTCCTTTAAAGTGTCCTCTATCTGTTGGCATCATCGGTAATATGGATCGCGAACGTATTTTGCCACAAAATGGACAGCAATAGATTTTTTTGGGAGCGCGCACTACTTATTGCTGATTTTACCCCCCTTATTCTACTCCTCGGGTACATAAAGTTGATACTGTTGTGTCCGTTAAAGTGTCCTCTATCTGTTGGCATCATCGGTAATATGGATCGCAGACGTATTTTGCCACAAAACGACCGGCAATAGATTTTAGCGGGCGCGCGCACAACTTATTGCTGATTTTACCCCCCTTATTCTACTCCTCGGGTACATAAAGTTGATACTGTCGTGTCCGTTAAAGTGTCCTCTATCTGTTGGCATTATTGGTAATATGGATCACGGACTTATTTTGCCGCAAAACGGCCAGCAATAGATTTTTTCGGGCGCGCGCACAACTTATTGCTGATTTTACCCCCCTTATTCTACTCCCCAGTACATAATGTTGATACTGTCGTGTCCGTTAAAGTGTCCTCTATCTGTTGGCATCATCGGTAATATGGATCGCGGATGTATTTTCCGCAAAACGGCCGGCAATAGATTTTAGCGGGCGAGCGCACTACTTATGGCTGGAGTTATTGCCAGGTTCACGCCAATAAAATAGTTTTCAGCCAATCTTAACTTAAATAACTTATATTGATTGTACGTTATTCATAAGGTAACATTTTATTTATACAGTAGACTTTCTCTTATCAGTCTTATCCAGACTCCTCGGGACCGAGGCCATTCCGGATAACGGGTTTTCCAGTGAAACCGACGTCACCAAAAACTCGTTAAATAGGTCTGTTTAAATGCATACTGTATAAGCAAATATTGATTATTATGAATTTAGACACATGATCACTGGCCTCAAATCTTTCCTACGAAAACAGACGTTTCAGTACGGCCCACTTCCTGCCAATCTAGTCCGGTTAAACTGATGTGCTGATAAAAATTGTACGGTTAAAGATGTGTCATTTCCGCCGGGTGTAGTCCGGTTAAACCGTTGCCCAGTTAAAAGGTGTCCGGATAAGAGAGAGTCTACTGTAAAAGCAAAAGTTGATATTTGGTGTTGTTGTTAGTTGTTATAGATAAATTTACAAAGAAGTCAGTTTAATCAATAAATCAAAATAAATCAATATTGGCTATTAATTATTAACAGCTTTGTCTAAGGAATATGTCGGCCTTAATCTCTAAGTAATAGGCCTACGGTATTCTTTGAAATACTCTACAAATGGCTCCTAGAAAACCCAATGTACCAGATTGATGAGTTTTTTTTAAAATCTGAAATAGTTATTTAAGTAACTTATTTATGCTGTCATCCTACATAGCTTAAATAGAAATTTGTATTTAGCTTTAAAGCCTTACCTACCCTTGTTTCTCTGATTGGATTTAAATTTTGTAGACTAATTTGACGAGACCTATTGTAAACAATGTATTTTTATTTTTATTTATTTAGCCTACATATTCTAGTTTATAATTTATACCTAGTAGTTTGGTAAGCTATTGATTCTACTAAAAACACTTTATAGGCTAACCCTCCCTGACCTGATTTTCTGTGTATATAAATTAAAAAAGCCCAAATTTAGCCCAAATTTTATCAAATACAGAGACTATCGAAATCTCAACCTCACTGCTCTGCTTTTAGACGCTTCTACCCTACCGTGGGATGTGGTTACTAATGATCCTGATGTCAATTCAATGGTTGAACATTTTACTTCCCTCATTTCTAATCTTCATAATAAACACTGTCCAATTGTATCTAAAAGAGTTTGGAAGCCACCTGCTCCCTGGATAAATGATTTTATTAGACAACTTAAAAAAAAAGAGATGCTGCATTTCGTAAAGCCAAGCGCACCAAGCTACCTAATGACTGGGCCTGTTACAAAAGGCTCAAGAATCAAACCCAACAACAGATCAGAAACTCAAAAGCTAGGTATTATTATACATCTTTCTCCCAGAAACAATCCTCCAAAACTTTGTGGACCAAAGTTTTAAGAACCTTGGTATCGGCAAATCTGACAATTTACATCAAATAACTATTAGTCTCGACACGATTAACAACTTTTTTGTGAATATCCCTATAAGTTCTGTAGGTGCATTTAACTATGTTGCCGATATCACATCTAGACCACTTGATATGCCAGAAACCCAGTTTTTCTTTTCCCCAGTTAGTGAATCTGAAGTCCGCAGGAAAATTCTGAGGATGACAAGTAACACAGTCGGCGCCGATGATATTCCTATCAGGTTTATTAGAGACACTCTTCCAGTTACTCTCCCGGTACTAACTTCCATATTTATATTAACACGATGTTAAACAAATACACAAACATCTATTCTAATAGTCATAATTTTTTGTGGAATTCAGAAGCCGAAACCAGAAACTAAAAAAATGTTTAATTTGGTTTTTATTTGACTGCTTTAAACATTAATAAAAAACACCTAAAAATGTATTGTTTACACTCGGGACACAATACAGACAGTATATCCACTTCGACACTTCTGCTTCTGCTTCTGCCTTCTGCTGAGTGCTGTGCTGAGCCGAAACAGCTGTTGTTTTTTTCCAGGCTGCTAATGCGTATTTTGTGTATTAGCGAATTTCCCATATAGGGAATAAGCTATTACCGTAGTACCATAGACTAACCAACACAAGTAGACTTCTCATCCCATTGTAAATTTTGAAGCACGTTTTTCGTTTCTAGTTCATGTACGTGACACAAAGGCGCTAGTGTCGACGAAACTTTGTTACTATTATTTTAGGGTTATTTTCTTGATTTGTGCTTTACTGTTTGGTTATATAACTAGGGGACAAGTTATTGTTTATGATTAGATCGTATTATTTGGTTAAACGAGGTTTTAAATGGCTGTAATAACGGGAAACAAATTGTAAACAAAACACGACCTCTACATAAACCGTACAGAACTAACAATAAAATTGTCTTCAGCTGTTCCATAAGGATGAGAAATCTACTAAGGGAGTATGTTTTATCTATGGTAGTACTCATGGTAAGACCTGGACCCGGGACCGATTTATTTTTTCGTTTTGAGGTCCCTAGAGGCCAAAAACACCATCTGTTCAAATTCATATATATATATATATATATATATATATATATATATATTTATATATATATATATATTTATATATATATATATATATTTATATATATATATATGTGTCCGTTAGCACGATAACTCGAGCAAAAATCATCCGATTTTGATGAAATTTGGTATAAACGTGTAAACCTACATTTATTCGAACGAGTTCGCGAACCAGCATGATCGGACTATGGGAACAGGGGTTTATGGGGGGTTTTATGGGGTAAAAATAGGTTTTTGCCATTTTTGACCCTAAAAACACAAAATTTTACAATTTCTTTTAACACCATTTTGTAGAGCATAAAAAACCAATAATTTAGTATATTGAAGCGTTATTGTGCGCCTAATGGTTACGGAGAAAATTAAAAAAAAACTGTAATTGTAAAATCCCCATGTTATTCTTATGGAGAAAAAGTAAACTGTTGTAGTTTGCTTGTTTAAGAACATATTTTGATCGAATTTTGAAAATACATTAATGTCTTACTAACCTATTAACATAAAAAAAACCACCTTTTTACCCTCCCTGTTGCAGCAAACCTAAGTACTTGTTTAACTAATTCTATTTAAATAGGGAATAAATATGATATTTTTAAGGAGGCATTTTAGTGTAAATCCTATCAGGCTAATGGAAATTCGCTTAGTCTGCAGGTTTGCTGCGGCGGGGGTATATTTGAAGAATACGATAGCTTGGTTACTGTGCTATGAAAATATTTACTCTAATGTACAGACATATATTTTCAATTTGTATTGTTTTGGTTCAAATCACAACATTGTTTTATTTTTTGTCATTTATTTGGCCAGATTTACATTAATGCATTGGCTAAGTCAATATACATAAAAAATACAGATTGTCTTATAAACTACTAGCTGTACCCGCGGGCTTCGCCCCGTTTAACTTCATAAGTATTCGCATGGCTCATTCACGTCCTGGTTGATGTTCGTTCGCTACGCTCACTCACCTTTAGGTTGGAGCTCGTTCGCTGCGCTCACTTGCCTTCAGGTTAGCTCGTTCGCTACGCTAACTCGCCTCCAGGTTGAAGTTCGTTCGCTACGCTCACTCACCTTTTGGTTGGAAATTAGCTGTTGTCATAAATTTAAAAAACAATTAATAGTGCTGCACCCTCTTGGTAATCCTTGTAACTTTTATGCTATTGCACATCATAGAACAGAACCAACTTATTTAATTGAAACAGCTGTTAAGATTCATTAATTCCTTTTAAATATGAAAAATCATAAGATTAACATGGGGAACTACAGAGCCACTGGGGCGGAGCCCGAAAGGGTTTTTGAGATAAGAATAATATGCTTTAATGTTAATCGGGAATGTGAGCTATCATCATGCCAAATTTCAGCCCAATCCGTCCAGTAGTTTATGTGTGATTGAGCAACAAACACACACACAAACATACACACAAACTCACAAACTTTCAGATTTATAATATTAGTAAGATAAAATAACTACTAAAATAAACAATATTTACATGTACAATTCATGAACCAAGCATACCATATGCCCATGACTACCCATCAGCAATAAAATCACGGACACGGTAGTAACACTTGGACACCAGTAATTTTCGAAGTGATTTTTTAAAAACAACAGGGTTTGACTCAATTTTTAGATGTGTTGGAAGTGCATTGAAAAGCAGTATACCGTTATAATAAAGATGTTTTTTTTAAAAAAGGTGGTTGAATGTTTTGGTATCTGAAGATTAAGACTGTTTCGCAAAGAATATGGACATGATCTAGAACTTGAAAAATGAAAATGTTCTTTTTCAGAAAATAGAGTGTTTCAAGGATGTATATGCATGGAAAAGTTAAAATATTTGAAGACTGAAAAAAATGTGTGCATGAAGTTCGTGAGTTGATTTTAAAGATGGTTCGAATTGCTCTCTTTTGAAGTCGAAATAGAAATCTGGTCCTTCCATTCTCACATCCCCATGCTGGCACTGCGTATACTAAATGAGGGAAAATGACCCCATAATAGGCGGTCATAAGGACGTTCTGATCAGAAAAAATTGACAATTGTTTTAAAAGAAAGATGCCTCGTACACAAACTGTCGATATGGTCATAAAAACGAAGGTATTTGTCTAATATTAAACCAAGGAACTTGACGCCTTCTGTTGACTCAATTTCCACGTTGTCTAAAAGGATAGTTGTGTGTGGATTGCCTTGGATTTAAAACCGGAGCAATTCAGTTTTGTTGGGGTTGAGATTTAATAAATTGGAGTCAAACCACTGCTTTACGTTATTTGCTTCAATAAAAGATTTTAATTCTTATTCCTCGTAAGTTGAGCCAGACAGAGCTAAAGACGTGTCATCCGCAAAAAGACAGATCTCTCCAGCCTCAACACTTGAAGGCAGTTCATTGATATAAATCAGAAACCGCACAGGTCCGAGGACAGATCCCTGGGGAACCCCACAAGTGACGGTGTCCCGAGAGGAGACAAAGGGTCGAGCACACCCAGAATAACTGTCAACACCTCTGACCTCAACAAATTGCTCCCTCTTTCTAAGTATGAGGAGAAACACTCCTGTGCCAGCCCCCTAACAACAATAGATTCTAGTTTATTGATTAGCATATCGTGATTTACAGTATCAAATGCCTTGCTCAGGTCAAAGAAAACCCCTAAAGCATTTTCTCCTGAGTCAAGAGGCCGTACTACTTTTGTTATAAGTGTAAACATTATTGCATTGGTGGTTGATTTCCCTTTTACGAATCCAAATTGGTTTTTAAACATAATATTATTTCTTTCTAAAAATTGTACCAATCTTGTTATTACTACTTTTTCAAATATTTTCGAAATGGTCGAAACTATAGTGATAGGTCTGTAGTTATCGCAAGTGGTTGGTATGCCTTTTTTATACAGTGGTTTAACAACGGAGGTCTTTAATAGGTCAGGGAAGGTTCCTGCTTCAAAAGAACTGTTGACCACGTTGGCTAGGGGCTTTGCTATTATATGTCCAATTTCTTTAATTATATTGGGAGAAATTTCGTCCACCCCGGAAGACTTCTTATTTTTCATCTCATGAATTGTTCTTAAGATCTCAATTTCATCTGTTTTGTAGAGGAAAAACGAGTCTCTTACTGAGCTTATAGTGTTTAAGCTGTGGACTCCTTTGGACTTGTTTCCAACGTTCAAGAAATATGTATTAAACATCCCAGCAACAGCGGTGGGATCGCTTACCACTTGACCAATATCATTGATAATCTTAATCGGTTTCATTTCATTGTCCTTACATTTTTTATTTTTCTTTATTGTTTGCCATATTGCTTTAGATTTGTTGTCGGAGCCGTTGATTTCTTTTAGTATCTGGGATGATTTTATCTGTCTAATTTGGTATCTATATTTTTGTTTCATGTGAAAGTAGTATTGTCTCATGATATAATGTGTTGAGGTAAGATCCTTAGTTTTTATATAAATTTCGCGAACAGTTCTTCCTAACTCAATTGTATCAGGTCCAAGAACTATAAGAACTATAGGTACTGCATTATTTTCAATCTTTTAATAAACTATACACGATTAAATGAGCGGTGGTCACCCGTCTGCCATTTTTAACTCATGGGACGTATGGCGCTTAGCAGCACTACTTGCGACCACGATTACTAGTAATCGTGCTTGCGACATTGTCAATTCTATCAGGCCACGGTCTGTTATAGTACACTAGCATCACTAGCATAACCTCTTCCAATACATTATCTAATACATTATGAAAATCTCATTAAAGTAATGCCATAGACTAACCAACCACGGCCACCTTTAACTCCAGGCTGCGGCCCATCGATCTCTATAATAATAGAAATCGATGCCGCGGCCTGGTAGAATTGGCAACGTTGCAAGTGATGTTGCCTAGCGCTAGACGTCTCATAAAATAACATGTCATAACAGGTGACACCAGCTCATTAATTTGCATATCTATAATATTAAAACGAAACAGTGTTTTTTATTTCACGATTCTGAATCAACCACTCGACGGATTTACATGATTTTTGTGTTGAAAGAAAGATAATTTTGAGAACTAGGGAATGTCGAAGCCATAATTTTAGTTTTGGATCCCAGTTTTTTAGAAATTAAGTTTTAATTTTTAAAAAGTCTAGCAGCCGACGCTAAGATTCTAAACTAGCTTTCGGCATAAAATAATTTGCTTAACATAACAGCTGTAAACATTCAGCTTTTGTGTCACAAATTCAGCATTTGGATAAAAATGTAAAGACATACTTAGCGTTGACTTATTTATACTATGTGTAATACTAATCAATGATACGATCAATTCTTCTGTAAGAGGATGG